TATATATATATATATTTAAATATGTCTATATAATTTTTTAAAGTATGTTATTTTAGTAGTTCAGTGAAAATAAGTTTAATAAAATAGGTTTTTATATTTTATTTCATTTAATGTTCATCAAGTAATGTTGAATGATTATTCAAGTAATGAAAATGTTTTTTTTTAATGATTTTAGTTTTAGTAGTCTGGGTGAAATCGTTTTAGTTAATGTTTGCTTTTTAATTAAAATATTAAGAATTCATTAGGATGCTATTTAAAACATGAATTCAGCTAAATTAAAATAATAGTAATTTTATTTTATTTTTTCAGATTTTTTTTCTACAAAAATAATCAACTGTTGTATGGAGCTGTGAAGTGATATGGTGTTTGACACGCTTTACTATATTGGGGAACTATCCGTTTTATAATTGAATTGATTGACTATTCTATGAAGAAAGTGACCAAAACTATTATAAAATACCCCAAAACACAACGCAGTCCTCAGTCATTTCCTACAAAGGATTCTTTATAGTGTTCTGCAACTTTATTTCACCAATGCAATATCAGGGGAACAGAAAATATGTTTCACTAATAGGACTGCTGTATAAAATATCAGGAAAATATCTGATTCCAGCCAAGTCATGAGTGGAGACATTCATAAATCTTTGAATGACCCTCATTTGTCCTCTAAGATTCTTACAACAGGTGGTCTCACTGGAGGGATACTTGGTCTGCTACCACCAAAGATCTTCTCGTGTGGAGAAACGACGGGTAAACACATCATGATGACATGTATTTTGGTGTAATTCAAACATCTTAAGTGACGACGAGTTTGGCATCCCAAAATAGCATGTCTGTTTTCATTCAACTGTCACTTCATTATGAACATTGTGAAATAATTGTGTGCTTATGAATGCCAGCACACAGCTGCAGTAATGTGAGAGAGAAAATGCCCACATTGGCGTTTAATGGTTGAAGTTAGTATTAGAAGCTGCTCTCAAATCAGTGTGAAAAGCAAACGAGACACAGCGCAGGGCATCTCGCAAGCATCTGCATCATCCCAGTCCAAGAAACCCAGCCAAAAGTCGCAGATGTTTAATTCTAAATTCTAAATAACGTGTCTTTGTAGCAGAGGTGCCATCCGGGTTGCATTGACCGACTTGACAAACACTGTTATAAATCAGGCTGTGGAACTTTTATAGAATTAGATCAGACATTTTACAGATGCACCACTGACACAGTCCATGTACAGCCATTTTCACTTACATTTTATGAGTCTGTTACACAAGAGCTTTTCAACCCGAGGGCGAAGGCTCTTTAACAAATGCAGCTGTTCAGATGCCAGTTTTGCCATTTCTACCAAGATGGTTTCACCCAAAATGTTCCCCCAAAAATAAAAGTTCTCTCACCGTCAGGCCATTCAAGATGGGTATGCTTCTTCATCAGAACATATTTGGAGAAATTTACCATGACATCACTTGCTCACCAATGGATCATCTGCAGTGAATGGGTGCCGTCAGCTTGAGAGTCCATACAGCCTATAAAAACATCACAATGATGTTTAAGTAATCCAAAGTAATCCACACACACACACAGAAATGTTGATTGTGACAGACCGACACTTTATTTATTTATTTGAAGAACTGGTCAGGTCACTCGTGAACTAGTTTAACTTGTTTAAAAAATGAAACAGAATTTTACAAAAATTACATTTTATTGCAACATATGATTGGTAATACATTATAATTGTGGATGCATAGATCACCCTCTTAATCATCAGTATTAGATATAAAGAACATAATATCTTTATAATGATGTCCAATTCGCGAATGAATCGTCCTTTTGAATCGGATCATTTTAATTTATACGTAGCCACACATATTTAGGCTATATTATCTAAAAAATTCGGTCAATTAGTAGACACAACGAGTTAATGAATTATTTTAGTCCCCTTGCATGAAGAAAAAAAATTGTCAAGCACATTGAGCAATCTTCGCGTTATGCCAAGCCGGTTGAATTACTATTGGTTGTTTCACCTTTCAAGCGTGTTCATTTACTCTAGCGCTGCGCAACCGAACGGCAGCGCGCGACACTCTCTCATATCAGGACTGTGGAGAACGAGGACGCCAAAACAACAACAACAAAAACCCAGGTAGTGCAGTACTAATGCAAAGACATACTTCTGAAGTCTCAACAGTGCAACGCAGGTGGATATAACGATATCGATACAATATTTTTCTCCTCGTGCCATGAAGAATCTTCTCCCCAAGCTGTGGATGTTCATCGCTCCAGTTGTCCTCCTCCCTTCGCTCAACGCTACCGAGTATGAGTACTACACTTGGAAACCGGAGACGTGGGTGCACAGTTACGGCAAAAGCCCACAGTGCATGGAAATTCCCGAGGACCTGAGGCTGTGTTTTAATGTGGGCTACCACCAGATGCTGCTTCCCAATTTGCTAGAGCATGAAACCATAGCTGAGGTGAAGCAGCAAGCGGGCAGCTGGGTTCCTCTGGTACACAAAGCCTGTCACCCCGGCACGCAAGTGTTCCTCTGCTCGCTCTTCGCCCCCGTGTGCCTCGAAAGACCCATATATCCGTGCCGCTGGCTGTGCGAGGCTGTCCGGGATAGTTGTACCCCTATAATGCAGGCGTTTGGGTTCCCTTGGCCTGAAATGCTCAACTGTGACAAGTTTCCCCTGGGCGACGTGTGCATTTCTATGAACACCACCAGCAGCGATGATACGGATAAATCCCCAGGTGTGTATTATAGCTGTATGTAATTTGACTGAATTTCCCATTAGCTTATTTTTTTAATCTTCTTTTTTTTTCTTAAAAAAATATTTTGCCGACAAATATAAATTGTGCTAATTGCTAACTTATCTAAAATATAATATAGTTTTTATGTGGTGTCTTCACAGTTCTCATATACAGTTTCGGTTTGCTATTTTACTGATTTGGTAACATTTTGTTACTGCTATTTTAAAATGTGAAAAATAAAAGTAAGAATCAGTAGGTGTGTTTCAAGTTTTTACTTGTAGTGTATTATGGTTGGATAAGGCTGATCGTTTAAGATAAGTTTGTTGCATTACCAACAAAGAAACAAACGTTATTGACACGTATTTAGTTCTTAATTAACATGACAATGTTAAAATAAATTACATTTTTTAATTCATGTCAAAGTCATAACCTGCAGTGATACATTTGTTGCATCTTCTCACCATTTTGAATTTGAAACCGTAAAAAAATCAAGTTGAAAAAACAGGAAATTATTGAGAGGATAAATGAATGGAAAAAATGCTGTTTGATGAACAAAAAACTAAACACACACACAAATACAGAA